AATTAATATAGAACATTTAAATAATTTACACAACCATTATTAGACCTTGGACTAATTCACCCTATGCTGATACCTGTCAATTTTATTTAGCTTTTGGGACATTGAGAGGCTTCTTTGTGCTTACTTGCATGGTCTCTGATTCTCTATGTGCCTGTCAGCCTGCCTCACTAGCCTTTGTCAGAGCCAAAGTCAGAAAGTATTTGGTCATAAGACTCCTTATAAAACATTGCAAGGCACAGCAATATCCATTTTTTGAGTACATTTGGAGCTAAATAAAAATATTAAACTATTGGACACAACCATAATTAGACCTAGTTTGGACTAATTCTCCCTATGTGGAGACTTGTGAACATTTGTTAGCTCCTGGCAACATTCAGCAAACTGTCTCATGCTAACTTGCATGGTCTCTCATCTTCACCATGTGCATCAGATGGCCTACCCCTTCCCAGAGCCAGTCAAAAAGTATTTTGTCATTGTATACCTTATAAAATATTGCAGAGAACAGCGGTTTTCAATTTCTAAATGCATTTGTAGTAGTCACAGTAAGCCTGATTTACTAAAGCATATGCAAATAGCTGGTGCATTGATCACATATGGACAATCATATTACATCCTCACAGTGTTGGCATTTCCTCATCATGTGTGATGTACAGATACACACATGCACACATGTTACAGTCTACATATCATATAAGCTAGGTATATAAGTATGAACAACCAAATCACACCTCTAAATCTGCCGTAAAGACGTGCATACAGGTTATATATGTACATGTAGAGAATTTAATGTCAAGTATGGTTTGCTATGAAGTGCAAGCTCCAGCATCCAAATGTATAACATCTAAGTGATGGTGTGCCTAAAATAAAAATGTGATTTTCTGTAATGTTTTAGGAGCTGTCTGATCGCTGTTAGGGATTTTTACATTCAAATATAAAACAACACACTGTGACTACTGATATCATTGCAGGTGTAAATTCTCATCCACAAAAATAAAAATTGTGACATACTAACACACACATGTCCCTCTGTGATTAAGTTAATGTTTATCTGTCTAGTGTGGTGGGCATAGGCTGTTCTGCCTGAGTATTTAGACCTAACAGGCTAAGGAGATTGGGAATAAAGTGGAAAGAGGGAGCCTATCATTCCTCTGGGAGAAGGGGTGGTACTGGGTCTGACATGGTCAAATGTTAGTGCCCAGTTTCTTCTCACAGGTGACAATACTGCTATGCTGGTAGAGGTTGCATTACCAAGCAGCCGTGTAGCCCAGAGGCAAAACTGCTGATTAAAGGGATTTGTTTGAAATTGTCACCCTTCTGAATTTGAAGGAGTTCAGCTTCAGACAGGTTTCAGTCCCAATCAATCCACAATCCAGAGTGAGTTTTTGTACACAGATGAACATGCTTTCTATATATGCATGTATTCCTATGGTGCAGGCTGAATGGTATCAAGAAAAAAATTACATTCAATGTATTTCAGTGTGCGACAAAGATATAATAATTTATCTTATCTGATTTGTTATCTTCCATGCAGCAGCCACTCCCCCTTTCCCATGAAGAGAGTCAGACAGTAGTATGGTTTCTAATGATCTGTGACTTTATACAGGATTATAGTTTGTAGTGATATGGGTCTTTATACAGAATTTATTGTAGATGAAACCATATCAGTTGGATGAAATTCAACATCATCAACAATATTCAATTGATCAATTATAATCACGTTAATAAAACCCATATGTGCATAATCCACAATGACAGATATGTATGTCTCTATTTAAAGATAAAAACAAGTTGGTCTATCAACTGTGCACCACCCAGCACATGCCGTGCCTTCTGTGCTGGGTGAGGCATCCCCCAGCCCGCAGAAGATCCGCCCCATCTCACCAAAGCTCCGCCCCATCCCATCAAAGTCCCGCCCCAGTTTGGTAACCAAGCTGTGTGGGAGGAGGAAGGGAGGAGACAGGGAGGAGCCTCCCTGTTCCTCACTTGTTTGTCACTTGGAAGTCACTGGTGAGGCATCGAGATCGATGTGCTCACTGGGTTTTTTGTTTTGTTTTTTTGATTTTACAGCTTGGACCAATGGCACTTTGCTATTGGTCCAAACCATCCACAGAGCTCATGCCTCTAACACAGAGTAGAGGCTGTGAAAGCTCTTGCCTCACCAAGTTAGGTTACACAAGCAGTGGAGAAGCCTGCTGCTGACTAACCTAACTACCTGTCAAAAGCAGGATGCAGTGCTGCCTGCAATTAACAGGCAGCGCTCCATCCATGACAGGTTACACAGCAGGGAGGCTTTCCCTGCTGTGTAACCTGTAACAAGCCTATCTGAATGGAGAAAAAGCTGTCAGCTTCAGACTTGAACCTGACAGCATTTTCCTGCATAATACTAGGTGAGGCTCTGCCTCACCTGCCTCCCCTGACCGCACGTCCCTGCCACCTAGGGAACAGGGGAGTGCTATATGGGACATATCTTTGATTGTCCACTAAAATACATTGGATGTACAGTTTTTCTTGATAACCTCCTGCACCAGAGAAGGCTTAGAAGACAGATAAGATTATTTGTGCTTTCAGTTCAGCTTACAGGAAGACAAGAACACTGCATTTCGGGAAGATCAGCAGGTAATTTCTGTAGTCTCAAAAAATGAACACAAATGCAGTCATCACATCTAAACACTGGTAAACTGCAATGTGTAAAATTGTTGGTCTCGGGTATAGGTATGCTTTAGTAATGACTGCAAATGTTAGTAAAAGCTTCATTTTGTATCTCTAGTAATATCAACCAGACGCTTTTGTATATGTGTGGTCAGGTAAAAAAAGAAGACAGATTTGTGGGAAGTACAATAAAAAATATTCTCCTGACTCAAAAAATATGATTTTTTTGTTCACAGTGAGAAAATGTGCAAATCATAGTGGATTTTAATGGCATGAACTAGATCAAATGTATTAAGCATATTTATTAAATTACCCCCTAAAATGATTATATAACTGTAACCTTTTAAAATTGCAAAAATTGTATAGAAACCCTCACTTGAAATTCTAAATTGGCCTTCCAGCCACACAACCCAAACCATCCAACATGACCCACTACATTAGGTGCTTTTAATAACTGATTTGTAAACAAATAATCTACAGGCATTATTAAGTAACCTTCAGGTAATTTTAATCAGGAAGGTTGTGAAAAATTCAGAAGCAGAATGTTTTGCATCCCATAAGTTGGGTAATGCTGGAGTGTTTGGCTAGATGGCCTTGAAGACGATACTCTCTAAAACAATAGTGGCTCTGCATAGAAGAGCATCTTCTCTATTTATAAAATCAGAGAAAACCAGTATGTTTGCTGGCAAAGAGTTACCACAACAAAGGAATTGGGTCTTTTTCCTAATGGTTAATATTTCCTGTTTAGTCTAACAGTAATGCAGCTTTAGAGGAAGCTACAGGGGTAGAAAACTGAATAATCACTCAGGTAAGTGGAAATAGTTGTTACCTGGACCTTTTTTTAAATATATATATGGTCTATGAACCAGCAGAGAGCAAAAAGAAAAAGCAGAGCAAAACAGAGAACATGTTTCAAAATTATTTTTACATGGACAATTGGCCCTGGAAACTCATGGCTGTTCCAGCAACCATCCAGTCTAAAAGCAGCCATGATAGCCTCTACTTGAGCCTCTACAAATAATTGCTTGTTCTTCTGCTCATGCTAATGAGATGAAACTCCCTTGGCAATGTTCTTTACTGCTACAAACTGTTTACATGCACCTATACTGACCCTGGAGGCAATCAGAAAGTTGTTTTACCATTTTCAGTAATATGGCCTGTAGTCTCCTGGCTATATGTGAACATCTGCTGGTAATTTGAACAAGCTGTTCTGCACATGCTGGTTACTCATTTAGCCCTATAGAGAGCATCAACTTCTAGTGTTGGAAGGTTAAAAAACAAGAGCCAGGCCATATAGCTGAAACAGGAAAAGTCATTTTTTATTTAACTTTATACACTTAACAAAGAGTTCACCTATAGAATTGTGAAGTTTATTGTAAGCATATACATTTACTAGAGAATGAAAACATTAGAGATCAGCAACCCAGTAGCTTTGGATACATTCCAGATATGCTTGATTACTAGAATAAGAGACACATTTTTTGCAGATATGCTTATTTCTAGCAAACATATTTAGAGAACATATACATAATTGAACTATAATCTCATTATCACAGCTGAACAAAGTTAATTATGTTGCAAAATAATCTGACAGTAGTTTCCATAGTTCAGCAAACTCTGCATATGTTTTTTATTTAATATATATTTGCTTAAAAATGCTGATGTCAGTGTCATGCATTTTCAAATAGAGTTTCTGTCACACTGTAATATAT